TTTTTTGCTTAATAAAAATTGTAAATAATTGTTACTTTTTACAAACAAAACTAAAAATAAAATTTAGGCAAAGATTATTATAACCTATTGCGTTTAGTTCTATTAAATTCATAATTTATACATTTAATAAATACCTTCAAAAAATTAAAATAACAAATATTTATTTTATAATAATGCATGTTGTACTATTATATTTATTATTTATGAAGATTGGAGTATTATGAGACAGTTTAAAAATAACTAAACATAAAAATACATTTTTTTTTAAATATCAAGTGGGAAATTTACGGCATTCTTTTTTAGAGGGTAGTATATACAAGTAATATATATATTTATATATTTTAAATGCACAATAACTATTCTAAATAAAAGCTAAAAGGCATTTTCTTATTTTAATAAACAATTAACGGTGTACCAGGTTTGGTGGAGTCCTTGTCCAAGCAGAGAATGTCCAGAAGCCGAAGAAATCAATTTAGTTTTAGATGAATGTGATGATTATTGCTTGTTGAGAGATAACACTGTACCGCACGATGAAAACAAAGGGATAACAAAAATTGAACAAAGTATTGCTGTTAGACCACCAACTTTTATTACTGGACTTACAAATCCCCAACAAGTATTTAAATTTATTATATATAATATAATATGTAACATAATAACCGTTAGACGTTTGTGGTGACGCAGTGGTAGTTATGTATATTTGAAAATTTTATTAAAGATAATTAAAGAACAAAAATATTTCAGTATATTTAATCATTTTTATTATTTAACAAACTTTAAAGCTCTTTATGCTTATTTTATAGATTAATTTTAAAATAACTATATAGGCCTATACCTATGTAATAAACTGACAACTACGTAGAAGTAGGTACCTACCTACATATTTATTTAAATCAAAAATTTCTACGACTCTACATTTACTCGTATGATAGGATTAACCTATTATGAATACATAGATCAATTTGTTTGGTTTATAATTTTCACTTTTTAGCAACAGCTTCCCAACTGTATTGTACCACCCGTAAACAATCACCAACCAGGGATAGACGACCCAGATTTATATTTCATTTACGAAAAAACCAAACAAGCTAAAAATGCGACTAAACAAATGTAAGTATTGTAATCACGAGTGATTAACTTATAAAATTGTTGAGGACTCTAAATAGGAATCTAAATTAATAAATATTATACTTATAAAAGGACACCAAAATGAAAATTATAAAGTTAAGTATAAATTTAGACGTATAGGTTCTTAATTAGAGTGATTTGGTTTATATAAAACCATAAAATAGAAATTGATAAAAACAAATCAGCAATGATTTTTATGTTATTCGTCAATTGGCATTTTACAGTGTAAAAAAACCCGAACCAAAGAAAAATAAAGTAAGAATGGGAGTTTTATTAAATAATGAAACTGTAAAAGAAATCGCCAACATCGGTGCTGGATTAAACAACATCAACGATACATCTAGTAAAAAAGAAGCCACCGTGTTTGTGGTGTTGGACATGCACCCAGGTCTTATGAATCCGACGGAAACATTAGGTAGGTACTATAAGATTGGAACTATAAGTAAAATTATAATTACTTACAACATATTCTTCGGTATATATTGTAGTGGCGTAATTTGAACTATATTTTAGGGGTTGATCTTTTTTTAACCATACACAGTGTCAGAACGTGGTGGAAGTTTCGTTTTTTAGTAAATTATAATTTTGAAATATATAATAAATAGGTAGGTACTTATATAGTTATATTGATCTATAATTTATCTGCTAAACACATCCAGAGATCCGTATGTACTAACCACTAACTAGTAACCTCCAGTTTATACGTCTGACCAGTTGCATAATATTTGATATGGATGATCGATGGATCGTTCCATGTTGAGAGCTGGGCCTTGGTAACATGATAAAATTGTTAAATTAATATTCGGTAAATAAATATTACAATAAATGTTTTATTTGATAAATATATTAAATACGGGGCATAATACAAAAATATGTAATCATCATCACCTTCACCCAAAATACTAGTCTAGCTTTAATTTAGATATGTCATTGCCTATATCTGATTCAATCTAGCTGTAGATAAATTAATCTGTTCAATTATTTCCATTAATAAAACGCTACCTATAACATTAACTTTATTGTAAAATTGTGCGTGCGTGATACCTTATTATATTTAATACGTATTAAGTTGTATTCAAATCATAGGTACCTACATATTATTACACGCCCCACATGAATTATATAAGTATAAATAATTGAATATTATAACATACATTTCATACAGTGTGGCGACACTGAGGTAATTAACAATACAAGCATAAGTAAGGGCTAAGAGCGTAGTGAACATTTTACTGTATTAACAAAACAATAAAATTGAAGTATTGCTACGCGTGCTCTGATATCGTATACAATACAATGTAGGTACTACGTAGACTTTCATATTCCACTATATAGTACCAATATAACAAGGAGGAGAAAGGTACAACAATATAATTCATAATTATGGCCTTATGGGGCAGACCTGATATACCCTGTACTCGTAATTCATCGTCAAATATAAATCAAAACAAATACAGGTTGTAACTATAACTTTTTATACGGGGATAACGTAACGCGTTAAGTACAAAATCAATCAAATTAATGCAATCGCGCGTATTCATAAACTAAAGGATTTAGGTATTAGATGTACGTCATCCAGGCTCCATAAGATAGTAGGATCATCACGCATAGGTTCGCATTGGCCCGAGAACTCGTAAACCGTGGAAATACGACGTAATGAATATCACTTGACCAGAAGTGATATAACCAAAAATAGAGGGGAAAGAACCTATGTGAGAGAACCCGAGATGAGCCCTTTTCAGACGTGATTTACGAGAGTTAGAGCGAGTACTTTCACGACAGAATTTTATTATTTTGACTTAGAAATATTTCTAATAAAAAAAAAACACTTAGAAGAATTTTGTGTCGAATTTATTAAATCACATAAGCTACTGCACACCTCCCTTAAACCGATGCTTGTACGTCGACCGTTACATTATTGTCACGCGTCAATTCTAGTAGTCTTTAAAGTCGAAACTCGATGTTTACGGATAGGGATGCGAATTTACTAGAATACTCAATCATATTATGAGAACCCAAAATCCATCTTGTCCGCCTAGAAAAATTACCACCACCATGACCATCACTCTTTATGAAAAGATCATGTAGGTAACATATGATGTAGACGGAGATCAACGTAAGAGCTCGACAGACGGTCAAGATCGTTAGGAACATCTGAAAGTTCAAAGGCAGGTCTAATACTGTTCACAACCTTATAGCTTACTATCGTATTTTTGTATTTTAAGTAAATGCTAAATAAAGACAATAATATTATACTTGCCTACTTTAAACATCACGTTTTAATTCCTGCGTTGATGCATGAATGATTCATGATGAATCAACGAATCCGGGATATAATCATTTTTCAATAATATTTTGTTTCCGATTCCATTACATACGTATGACAATGTGACATGTATTATATATTATAGGAATGGAACTCCCAGAACTTGATCAAGACGAACAAGTAACGGATTTCCGTCAACATTTTTCGTCGGATATGTTGGTATCATCTGGAGTGAATTTTTCAGCACTTCTCGATCATGATTTACGATGTGGCGGTAGAGTGCTAGCTACAAACTTAACGTATAACAAACTAAAAGAGCTCGCTGCGGATTGTATGCTCCAAAAATGTATTTTCAGGTATACTGCAGTGATGTTACATATTTATATTTAAGTGTATTTACCTACAAAATAAATTTGCTTAAATGGCATATCCTGCGTGGACCGCACATATACTGGTTTTAAAATATTTTGAATTGTTATACAAAAATCAAAATGGGTAGGTACCGGTTGTAATAAACCCGAGATAATATACCAAATAACCTCAGATAACCTTGTTTCATTATATTAAACTTAGTAAAATGAATACATTTTTTAATACAGGACAGGTGGACCTGAACGATGCCCACCCGAGTATAAACCCTCAAACGAAAAAGTGTTTTGGATTTATTTTGGTCTGCGGTTTATAGGTACTACTATGTTAGCAGCATCGGTTACAGTTATGGATCCTATTGCTTTAAGCCTTATACAAAGATATGGCGGACAGTTTGGAAGAGAAAGATTATTTTCTACTGTGGGGATGGCATTATTCTCTCCTCTCACTGGTTGGCTAATTGATTCTATGAGTTTAAAAAAAAGGTACAACAAATAATGTGATATGATTTATTATGAAGAAAAATATCAATACTGTTAATCATTATAATTATTAACAACTTAAACTTAAATTATAAAGTAACAAAATAAATGTAATTAATGTTGTCATATTAGGTTACACGGATTATTCATCTGCATTCTACACTTATGATATCCTCCTTGTTTTATCAATGGTAACATTACTAATGATGCCGGTAGGCATTAAAATGCCTGCAGATCACATTTTAAAAGATATGCTAAGACTTTTAAAATTGCCACATGTAACAGCATTTATTTTTTTTTTGTTCATGCTTGGAAATTGTTGGGGATTTATAGAGTCATATTTATTTTTGTACCTTAAAGAATTGGGTGCTTCTAATTATTTATTAGGTAAGTTTTATTAAAAAAAAAAAAAAAAAAATAATGAATTGAAATAACAAAATGGAATTTATAGGAATCACAGTGTCAGTAGCAACAATTAGTAGTATACCATTTTTGTATGGTGCAGAAAAAATATCAAAAAAAATTGGACATGTCAATATCATTGTGATAGCTTTCTTTTCACACGCAGCTAGATTAATGGGTTATTCATTTATTGAGTAAGATCACATTAAATATTTATAAAATACTTATTTTATAATATGACATTTTTACCATAGAGATCCATGGTGGGTTTTTCCATTTGAAGCAATTGAATCTTTGGCAGTCCATTTAATGTGGGTTGCTGCTGCTACATATTGTGCTTTACTTGCGCCTAAAAATCTTCTAGCAACACTGATTGGTGTCATTGGAATGTCCCACTTCAGTCTTGGTAAATAATATTTTATTTGTCACGGTTATTATTAAAACTGAAAATATTTAAATATATTTAAGGTCGTGGTAGTGGAAGTTTTATTGGAGGACTTTTAATTGGATCCTATGGAACAAGACAATCTTTTAGATTAATGGGGTTACTTGGAATTTTAAGTGGAACTATATATGGTCTATTACATTGTATGTGGCTTTACAAGTTTGAAGATCAAACTAATACTGAAAAATCAGGTAAACTTTGTCAATTAAAATTAATAGTATAATTTATGTTTATTATATATTTTTTTTTAAATTTAGAACCATCAGAAGTAGAATCTCTTAAAGGAGTTGAAGAGAACAATAAAGAAGATTTGTCTGATTTAGAAGCTGAGGCTAGACGTTTAAGCTTAATGATTAAATTTAATCATCGTGGATCTTTAGCATCATTGGATAAAGAACTACTAACAGCAACTAAATCCCAAAGTGATCTTCGAAGTGCATCATTGCAACTCCCTAAAGTTGATTTATTGAAGTCTACTCTTGAACTTAATTACTTACATAAGAAAGCTAATATAAGCAAACCTATTTTAAAAAAGGAAGAAAGTTGTGTGTCAACTCCACACATGAGTAGAAAATCACTGATAATTCAAACTACAACGGAAGAAACTAATAATTTTGGAAACAGTGAAGAAAATTAAATAATAAATAGATGGATAACTGTTAAATTAAAATAGTATTGGTTTTGATATAAACTCACATTATATTTACATAGACTTTTAATATTTTTTTTGTTTTTTATAATTCCTGTCATCTTTTTGATAACTTTTTCTTTTATTCTTGTCGTCATAATCCTTGTTATCATATTCTCTTCTATCGTCTTTTATCTTCTTTCTATCTCTTTCTCTTGATTTATCTCTACTATTATAATCTTTAGATGATATACCTTTAGAATTTTTACTAATATCCTTCTCTTGACTTTGACTGTGTCTAGATCGTTTATGACTTTTATCTTTCTTATAAAATATATCTTGTTCACTTTTACTATGTTTTTTTCTATGTTTTTCTTTTAAGTCTTCTCTTTGATATTTATAATGTATATCATCTTTTTCTTTAGATTTATCACTGTGGTACCGTTTCTTATCTTTAGATTTTTTAGGTGATTTATTACTTTTATAAACAGGACTTTTAATTATTTCTGGAGTACAAACTTCTCGTTTTATTTCTGGAGTGTAAACTTCTTGTTTGATTTCTGGAGTTTCAATTGTTCTTCGAACCTGTGGTGATAAAATTTCCTCTTTGATTTCAGTTTTAACCTGGAAATCATCATCAAACTTTTCAGTCTTAATTTTGTTAGTAGGTTCTGAGTTTTTCGGTGGTTTGTAATCTTTAACATGATCAACACGTAATATTCGACCTAGTACACGTGTACCATTGAAGTTATCTACTGCTAATATTGTACTTCTTTGGTCTTCATAGCATACAAAACAAAATCCTTTCTGTTTACCAGTGTCTTTATCCCGTACCAAATTTAGATTAGTAATTTCTCCATATCTAAAATTAAAAATAATTTATTAATTTTTCAATAATTGTAAATGATTATTAAATTATACAAAATTCAATTACTGGGAAAATATAGACATAATATCGCCTTCAGAAAGGTCATAAGGTAATCCACCAACAAATATCCATGCACTTGATTTATATTCATCATGCCATGAACTTTTAGGTAGTCGTTGCAATTCTTGTTCACTGAGTTTTTTCACATTTCTCATATTTCTAAAAGAATAAAATACATAAATATATTTTAAGTATGTAATAAATTACACTTTATATAAACATAAACAAATATATATATATATATAAAATAATATTGATATTACACTATTGTTGATACTCGACTTAGTTTCAAATAGTAAATATTTTTACTTTTAAATAACGGTTTTGTTTTTTTTTTTTTTTAACCAAAAAATCTAATATATATTTAAGCATAATTTTCTTTTATTAAAATTTGAAGTTCTTAATTTACAATATTTTATACTCACAATGATATTTTCAAATGCAATTTCTTGACTAAAAATAATTTAACCTACTGTATAACTAAAGATTAAATAACTTAATAACATTATTAACAAACAACATAAAATATACTAGTGATATAGGCCGATAGACTGTCTTCGTTCAGATTTCTTTTTTTTGTATATAATATCTTACTGAATTCAAATTTAATACATCCATTATAATTATCCATTCGACACCTACTTAAAGGCGAGTGACAGTCACTTGCCCACTTTTTTTTATATATTTTTTATTTAGGACTGTTTTAACAGCTGCACATATGGTTTTTCATTGATGTGTTATTTATGATCCACAAATGGATGATCAGTTTTAAATTTTATATGTATTGTTGCCAAAGTACCATTGATATGGCCTCGTAATACAGTTATAAAAGTGAAAATTGTGATAAAATAGAAAAATTTATTAATAATAATTTTTTTTTTTATTATCAAACTATTTTTAATTACAATCTATCTAAATTATTAAGTAATACAATAAGCAAATAAATTTGTTCAGAGAAATATTAAATTTATTTTAAAAACATATTTATAAATATGTTATACAGTCTACAGTGATAATTAGGTTAGTATTTACGAATTTATATATAAATTATATATTTTTTAAAATAAGCTATATTAAATTTTTTAAGAAATATATATATAATTTAATACATTCTTATTAAAATAACAACAATTATACTATAAGTTAATATTTTCAATATAATTTCATAACATTTTTGTATATAATTTATTTTAAAATAATATTTTAAGCAAAAATGTACACTCAAATCACCAGGAAACAACCTCTAAAAAATTCAAGACCCAATACTCATAAAATTCAAATGATATTTTGTTCAAAAACATCCATATTTATTGAAATAAAAATAAAATATCCTAAAACAGTTAACCCAAAATTTGAATAATTTTTTACAAGTTCTGTGTTAAAAGTCATTTTGTATTTTTTCAGTTAGATTTTTTAGCTTGTTGACCTTAGGACAATCAAACTTGGTTAGCTCAAAATTGAAGGAGCTGGAAAAAAGTTTGAGTTATCCAAATTAAAAATTTTTGAAATAACACAAAATATATTAATTCCTATGTATTTATACATGAATTATGTATAAATATTTTTTTAAAGTTATTTATGTATAAACAAAAATGAGATCAGAAAATGATTTAAAAAAGGTATTTATTTTTGTTTGAGTTTTGCTGTTGATCTTAGCGTTTGTAGTGAACCGTATCACTTATCGGTGACGATAACACTAATGAGTAATAGTCCTTATTTTTGATATTAAAATACATGCATAATTACATGAGAGAAATATGACAATAACATAATATTAATAAAACTCAGAACTTCGAGTTATCCACGAAAATATTAGAGTTAAACAACATTTTTTCACATTGTCTAAGTAGGAAATTTTAAGGACCAGAGAAAAGCTTGAGGTAATAACAATTTCAAATTAAAGAAGTTCGAGAAACCAAGTTTGATTGTAATATTAATTATCACAGTACATGCGTTTAAACAAATAAAATAGTAACAGTACCAAAAAAATAAATTATCCAAATTAACATTTTTAATAATAATCATAGTTATAGCTATGTCAATTATCAATACAATCAATAATATTTTATGATTTCAAAATGATATTTTAAGGAAAATTATATAAATTAAAAATAAGCACATAGTTTTTAAATTAAGTTCTTACTGTCTTCTGAATTAATTAACATCTTTATCGACCTAAATAATAATACTTATGTGCAGTAGCAAGCCAAAGTAGGCTTTTTTGAGGCCATTGCCTCGATAAAAAATGGGTAGGTGGGTACTATACAATGGATTAGTATGATGCAAAATGTTATATTTAACTTTTTGCGTATATCTTATCATTGAGTAGATCACTGTAATATTTCTATCACTTATGTATCAAATATGAATTCAATAAAATAATTATTGTATAAAAAAAGTTATTCTAAGTAGAATGTGAAAATATTTACAATAAACATGCAGTTTATTTATACTATTATTAGTAATAAAATGTCTTTTCGGTTATTAATTATTATGATACGTATACATATACATTATTAGATAGGTTTTTTGAGAAATAGAATGTAAAATTCTCACAATTCACTTTACTGTCATTTGCCAAATGTATAAATTTAATGTAGAGAATTTCAAAGATACGTAGAACTACATTTACATACCATATTATGTTATTTTGGTAAATGATAACGTATTATTTTTTATACTTCTATGAGTTCTGTGAATAATAATACATTTAAGTTATTGCGCAAGATAAACTACATAAAATTTAAAAATAAAACATACCGAATAAATTTATAATTGGTTTATTAAGTAAGAAACAATCTTTTAAAAAAGTTATACTTACGTTAATGGATTCATTTTAACAATTGTCCGTAAGCCGTTTGTGATTTAGAAGATTTATGAACCTTGATCTTAACTCTTAAGTCCTATTGAAATATTTTGTTATTTGTAATACCTAACTATATAATAAGTAAATTATAATTTTAAATCACATTACTCCTAAATTGTAATTTGTAATATTATCAGTTATCACACATGTATTGTGTTTTAAAATGTGTTTCAATAATCTGTGATATCATGTATTCATGTTTATGATAAAATTACGGACTATAAGAAAACAAATAAAAAATAGTTAACAATTTTTATTTTTTATTATTTTCTTCTCTTATTACTCTACTATGGAACCTAACCTAACATTTTTTATCTGATATCATATCATTAAATTTTGAATAATACACAATTTTGGATTAAAATATAGAATCATCAATAATGCATTGACTTATTTAATAACTATTAACTTATTAATTTTAAATTTAAATTATTGTATTTTACTAATATTTTCACCGTACGGATCATTCCTTAAATAACAAATGCAAATTGCGTAATAATATGATTAAAAAAAAAAAAATTACTAGGTATTTTAAATTATTTCTTTAGTTGTTAGGTTATTGCAGTCAAGTGTTTATTAACTGTTACTTGTTACCCAGGAAACGGTATACACACTTCTATAGTTCTGCGTGATTGTCAGTTATAGACGTTATAGACTAGTAATTATTTGCCAAATACAGGGTACAAGCCTTAAACCTTTGAGAAATGTTTGTTTAACTATTATAACGCGTGGATTATACAATTTACAAATTTAAGAACTTTTGCTATTCCTTGAATTAAAATTTACAGTAAGACAAATATCGATTAATGAAAACGAATGTCAATAGTTCGTAAAAACTCATTAAATAAAAGCTTAGATTGCAACAAATTTTTAAAATTCAAATATTCACAAAATATACATTTAATTTGGAATATTCTGTAATTACTCAACAATTGAATCTAGTAATTTCATTGTAAAAATAAATTTTCTTTTTGATTTCTAAACATTAGTTATATTCAACATTTATTTACTAAATTATGCATTCTACTTATGTTTGTTTTAAATAATAATAATTGAACTATTCCTGAAAGCAAAATATGGAGGAAGAATGTTTCAAATTTAAAGTGGGTATTTTATTACTTAGCTTAATAAAATCATTTTTTTAATAATTTATGCACAATTAATTTAATTATTAAGGAATAATTTTTGCTAAATTATCAATATGTTTTACAGATACTAAATTAGATATGACATTACAATCTGGCATTTACTTTAATAGTCTAAATATTATAAGATCGGTTAATTTAAAAATAATTTTCAGTAGAATAATATAATTTTCAGATAAAGTACATTGATATTTATGAATTGGCTAGATGTATGTTTTATTATCTTAATTATTACCGCAGTATAAATTTTAAATTATTATTTCAGCATATTTCCAAAGAAGATTTTAATAGAGCTTACAAAAAAATCAATCGTTGTCGACAAAAACAAATAGATGATCAACATTGGAACATTTACATGGAATCAATCAAAAGTACAGATTTAAAAAAAGCATACACTATTGAAAATAATACAGATATTAAACAAAGTGAACACTCATTTAATAAGTGTAGAAACAGCCAATCTAGCATGCACGATTCAGTAAATTTATACTCATTGCATGATCCTTATGATCTTAATCATATACACGGGCTTAGAAAGTATTTACTATAATCATAATACTTAAGTATTAATTAATTTTAACTTTGATATTTATTTTGTTTTTTTTTTTTTTTATAGTCGTTTGTTTAAAACATTTATTGAGTTTTCTAATATTTTAGAAAATGCACTTTTGCCACCTGTTTTAAAAAGTGCTAGAAAAGTACAAATTAAAATAAAAGAATGTGATCTACAAACAAATAATTACATATTTGATCTAAACTCACTGGTAAATAATTAAAATTTAGTAATGATTTACTTTGATATACAATATACTTATGAACATACCTATTAAACAAAACAATTAGACTAACTTTTTAACTGTCTCGAAGGAAAAAATATTGAGAAATATAAGCAACTTACTTACTGTAATAAATGTTAGTATAACATTAGTTTTAAAGAGGAAATAACTCTTAACCAGGATAAATTTTAAATTAATAAATCTTTGGAGGAGGGGGGGATCACTAGTATTTTTTTTTATACTTGTTAAGATTAAACAATTAATTACTATAGAAATAAATAATTTAAAAATAAAAATTTCTAATTTTTATTGAAAATAATTTTGTTTTTAAATAGTCAATTCTTATACATTAATTATGTAAAATACATGTGGAAAAAATATTATAAATGAGTGGTACTAAATTTCATTTTGTTTCTTGCATGTTGAATTTAATTTCTTGGTATACCTTTGGTGGTCAGAAATTTGAAATAAAAGTTTTGATGAAAACATATGAATTAGAACAAAGTTTGGGTGACAGTCAACAGTGTAATCTAATGGAAAATTTCCTATTAAAAAAATTTAATTTTTCATATTATTGATGACATGACTCCTATCTCTTGCAGCTATTTTTATTAGGTTGTAAAACTCTATTTGTTATATTGTATTTCTGATTAAATACCTTTTTGTTTATAGTTATTTGATTATCTATGTGTAATAAATCCCTCTAAATTTATTATCGTTTAGAGCCGTGGTTCTCACTCAGTATATCACCAAATAAGTCCAAATGTGTCGCGTGAAGTACTAATAACAACATTTTTTAAACATTAACTGTTTTATATTGTCTATGAGCTGCCTGGATTAGTAGGCCGGTATTCTCCCAGTCTAAGCCTCTAAGTGTGCCATCATTTTTATGAATCTATATTAGGGTGTCATTGTACAAAAAAGATTGAGAATCACTGGTTTAGAGAGTTGTACACACCACTGACCACAGTAAAAGATTGATCCTATTTCAAATATTTGACCTCTCATTGAGTTATAGGAAGAAATCTTTGTTTAGTATAATTTTTGTATATCAAGTTCAAACAATTATCAAGTATCAACATTTATCCATAAATATTTTAAGGTCTACACACTGCAGCGATGGCAATTAAATTCTATTATCTTTCACCATGTCAATTAACTGTGTATGGCTACTATATTTTATACCACTATTGCAATGTTTGAGGACCTTTATAATCACAGTAAATCACATTATTAATTGTTACTTTTTAAATTTAATAATTGTATTTCAGTTTTCTGAAATTAAAAAAGAATCAAAACATAAAGACCTGCACAATAAAAAAAATAAAACTAATGTCACATTAAGAAAAGCTTTTCAAATTAAGTTAATTAAATGCTATAAATTAGCAATTAACGCCATAAAGGTATTTATAAATATAATTAATTAATATATAATTTTTATAATGCTCTATATCACTCTCAGATATGTTCAAAAACCTTGGAAGCTGGAATTTATAACCCTATTCAAAATAAAATGAAAAGTTTAATACAAACTATATCAGCTTTATCATTAATTACTGGAAAATATATTTATGGCGAACTATTTTCAAAAAAAAAGAAAGAAAGTTTTGTATGTATTACTTAAGTTATATTCTTTTTATTAATATTTCTATTGCAGATGAAAATATATTTAAAATTTTGAACTTAATGATTCTAGGATTTAGTTAAAAATTGCAAAGATTTAGAGAATATGTTGGATGAATGTGATTATAAAGACACAGATATTGACATTCACGGTAATATATTAAATGAGCTTTCTAATAAAGCTTTAAGTAAATCTAAAACTCAATTGTTTTCTGCCAATTCAAATCGATTAAGTATGTATAATCAAGATAAATCAAAATTGGGATCATACTATGCTCAAGGATGGTCAAAAAAATCATTTGAATTATCTGGAAATAAAATTTTGTCAAAAACAGATAATATCTTAAAAACTAAAAATAATTTAGACAATATAAAAACTGTAATGGAAGAGTACCCCTTTAGAAAATTGAAAGTAAGATACATTATAATGCATATATTTATTACATTTTAGCGTCCAATTTTATTTTAGGAAACAAATTATAATTTTGTTTTTGAAGAGAAACAAGATGAAAAATTAATTGATACCAATGAAGCAATTAAATTTTCAACTGCCTTAAAAGTATCAAAGTATGTATAAATGTGTATATCTAGATTTATATTTTTAATTTTTCTAGTATCTAAATTAAGTAGGTACAAACCAAAATGGTATTTAAATATTGGGTATAATATATTATTGGTTTAATTGTATGATATTGTAATTATGTTTATGTATATTTTATTTTTGTTATCAGATAATTTATTTTAAATTCACGTTCAAGAATATTAAAGAATTTATTTTTAAAAAACTCTTATTAATTATAAGTTATAACTTTATTAGCTTATACCTAATTATGATTATATTTTAAATAAATAAATAAATATTTCAGGTCAAATCAATTAAAAAAAACAAGTAATGTTGGCCTTTATATTGTACAAGAAAACATCTGGAGACAATTTCCTATTAAAAGTACTAAATTAGTTAATTTATAGTTTATAAAGAGGTATTTTAATTAAAGTGTATCTAGAGTAATAATACAACAAATTACATTTTAATTATCCTGTGTTCAATTAAATAATAAATTAATCTATTATTTTTATGTTATTAAGATATAAGGCTCTCTCAAAATGGATGTTTGACTTTATATATAACTCCAGAACTAACTAAGGAACATTATTTGTACAAAAGACAATTCAAACAACAATCATTAATAGAAGAGTATGATGTTAATATCTTATTCAAGTAAATATATTTTTAATCTGTGTTAATCCCATAATACAAAAAAGATATCTTCTCTACATTCTTAGTATACCCTAGTATTTATAAAATTATTTTATACACATAAACAAAAACTTCTTTTTAATTGAGTCAATTTAATATTTTTCTCTGCATTAAATTTAAACTTTTAGCTTGATATATTATTTAATTATTAATGCAAATACTAGATAACTATAACTTAATAACTAACACAAGATGTTTTAATTTTCTGAAGTAAAACATTTTTAATTTATATTTGTTTTCACTAAGTGGTAAATATTTTTGTATGATGAACCTATCTTCTGATAAAACTATAAATATGATAAAAGTGAGGTAACAATAAACAAAGTATATTCATATACTATTCTATAAACATTTAATTAATAGGTAATTATTTCAAAACAACCATAAATTGTTCACGTTATAATTTAATTATGATATTTACTTCTGAGTTCTAAATCATCATTATTCAAAAACCACCCAACTTCAATTTTATTTAAAGTTTTCTAATTTCTATATTTAATTTTAAACCATAAATCTTAGAAAAAAATTAATTGTATTTATTAATTTAATTTAATTGTATGACTTTATTTTTAAGTATTTCAGAAACAATTATAGATGACCTGATAAATGAAGTTTTATCAAAAATTGATTATGATGCAATAATTCAGAAATTAATAAGAATGGAACTAATGGAATAGTTTTTAAGCTTCAAAAGCTTAGTAATTACTAACTTAAATACAATTATTTTTATTTAGACATTAAGTACATAAAAGATATGTTGTACAATTAGAACAATAAAATCAATGATAATATATATTATTTTTAACTTGAGACATTATATAATTATAGTTTATGATCGATGTAGTTAATGACGAAGAAATAAATATTTAATGCATTAGATTTCAAGTAAGTAGATTTACATTGTATAGGTTAGCATACTCAAGTATTTTTAGATATTTTATCTGTTTTTTTTAAAATACCAAGAAATTTAATAAAAACAATTGTTATATATATATATTTAATTGTTTTTAGACAAAAAAAAAGATATTTCTTCTTATTAATCACCAATTTAAGTCTTAAAATATTCAAACTTTTATATCCACTTTCAATTGATTTATTTTTAAGTTCCTATTATAATTCCAATTATTATCCTGCTAATCTATTCAATAAAGTTTTCACACTGAATATTCAATTATTTTTTTATGAAAATTTTTTATTCTATCTAAAAACAATTTAAACGTAATTTATAATATTTTTATGTTTCGTATAATATTATTCTACAAAAGTAATTTGTTAAACTTATAGTACCTATTACCTACCGTAAATTGATTTAATTTTTGCTGAAAACATTGCATTCATTATTTCATTAGCAATTAATTAATTATTACAATAATGTATTTATTTATATACCAATACCACACATTATTGTTATTATATTTGGAGATAATACCTTACTCTAAATACTGTAAAACAGTGTGAATAGTTATGTAGGTACTATTAAAATAGATAATATTTTAAAAATTAAAATTAATCTACTTATCTACCTAAGTATTTTAAAAATGTCATTACATGTTAGAAAATTCATAATAAAATATTTATACATATAAATTTTAAATCCCTACAAATAATGTTTTTGAATTATAACAAAATAATTAATATCATTATTCAGTATTCTATGGTAAAACGCATAGTTTTGTTCAAATTTTAACTATAAATATATTATATCAATAAAAAATAATGTTTATATTAACGATTGGAGTTATTATATCTTGATAATTAGAATGTAATATCCAAATAATTAAAATTGTAAAATTCAAATATTCTCAATTATCCATAATAGGATAAACCTATTCAAATATTCGAATATTTATAGTACTTATTCAGATTTCTGTATTTTTAATGTTTTTTAAGTAAGTAGGTATTTATTATTACTGTGACTTATGAAAAAAGTTGTATGAAACTCCGAAATTTACACATTGCTATGTGATAATCATAATAGTTATAACTTATAACTTATAAATGAGATATCTCAATCGTACTGTTCATGACAATAACGTTTAAAGTCCAATCGTTTTCACGAATTCGGTAAGTAACTGTATTTCTTTTGAGTTTTTTTTGTGAGAATTTTGTGCTGTCCTGCTTTAATTCAAAGAAAAACGTTAATTCACTTGTTTTGTTTAATTTTACATTTTAATGAATTAAAAATAAATAGATATATTTTGATTAAAATTATTAAAAATGACTCATAAAAATATCAGTGAAGAGTGGAATTATTTTGAAAAAATAGACATAAATAATTCAGCAATATGTATAACATGACGTAATGCAATACTAAATAATAAAATTTCATTGTAGAATTTTCATATTGATGAATGCTTAGTTAATACCAAAAAGGCTTCGACAATAGTACCTATCTACCTAACATGGTAGTCTATTAGGGGGGAGCAAAACGCGGTACTTGCCCCCTCCCTAGAAAAATAATATAATCCTAAAAGTATTAGTGTCTATTATTATAAATATTATCTAATTACCTAAAGAGCATGGGCGCCCATTGGGGGGGGCAAGACAGGGCACTTGCCCCCCCTGGAAAAAATATTACCACAATATTACCTTATTACCGAGGCAAATTATTTGTTGAAATCACTTTTAAGATATGAAATAAATATAAAAATATACTCATTGTTATCGTATATTAACATCATAGATAGGTCGTATTCTGTAGTCTGTATAACCTATACGTAAAATAATTTATCGCAGATAATTTGTGGTAAATCTATAAAAATCACAATATAGGTACTACAAAATATTTTAACCTAACGCAAACAAGGATTCTTTCATTCTGGATGTCATTAATATGTTTGGAATAAAACGAAGAAATTTACAGTTCTTATTTACTAATACCGAATAATATATACTTAATTATATTATTTAATTTCTATTTTTTTTATATACTTATTAAAATTATTATTTATTTATTTATTCGTATGGCAATTATTATTTATTAATTTATTTATTCATATGACAATTATTATATATTTATTTATTTTTTCGTATGGCAATTATTATATTAATACACTATATACATATATATATATATATATATATATATATATATATATATATATATATACAAATAAAAATATAACATGCATGTATAGTGTATACATTTATATGTGAAAAATAACATTAAATCTTTATTATCTTACATTCGAAAATTTTTTTATTTTGACCCCCCTAAAATATTACCTATGGGTGCCCATGCTAAAGAGCATTTAAATTATTTTATTTTTTTTTATCACTGTAGGGATTTGAAATAAAAAAAATAAATATATTTATATTGGCGTATTGATGACTAAGTAAGTAAATGCACAGTTTAAACACTTATTAAATTTATATTTTAAGACTTTTTTTTTAACAAATTTTACCCCCTCCCTAAAATTGAGTTAATGAGCGCCCATGTAGTTACAACACTACTTTGTATATTTTTAAGATAGTTACAGTATAAAATACTTTAAGGAAAATTATACTTTATTTTCATACATTATTTTTTTTAAATATAATGTTTTAAATTTTTTACAACAAAATACTTGTATTTTTGTGATTTTGATGAATTTTGTAAATAGGTACTTACACTTCAAATGTGTTAAACAAAAAATCTTATCAATGTAATTTTTCAATTTTATGCAGATTTTAGAACAACTTTTGTGAGATCTTGTATTGAATTTTCAACAATTTTGAACTAGTAATAAATTTTTATCGTTATTTACTCAAAAAAAAAGTTAGTAAAAATTTTAGTAAATAAAAAATATCTATTTTGACTAGGGCTGAAGTACATACTGTTTTATATTGTTATTCACTCGTTTCAGCCGTTTCAGGGGATTTATTTTTTAATCTTGTTTTAAGTTTTTAAGTTATTTACTCCGAAACAAACACAAAATCATACTTTAAAGAATGAAAAATTAAAAAATCTAAAGAGCACATTAAATCCACAAAATTTAAATTTTTTTTATTATGAATAGCACAAAACAGTTGGTTGGTGTATTTACCAACAATTATTTCCTTTGTATTCATTTTAAGATCTAATAGATAGTAAAAGGCATAAACTATAAACCATAAAGCTTAAAAATAATATTATAGTTTTTTTTCCTTTAAAAAACAAAATTGTATTTATTTATTATTAGCTTATAATTTTTAAATTTATTATTTATTTAATACTAAATACAATAAAATTCATCGTTTTAATAGAAAAAGTTTCCAAATTATCTCGTCAATTAATAATTGAGAGTATTAAATTTAACATTAAAATAATTACATAAATACCCTGAAATTACCTTGTATTAACATTTTGAGTTCTATAATAATAAATAATAAATAATTTAACATTAAAATAATTTATCCTGAAAATGATTTAAATTTATTCAGATTCTCCTTGGCCAACCAAAGAGTTTGTAAAACTGTTACCTAAAAAGCATTTTTCCTGTAATCTACATCCAACATCCAAAATTCAAGTAAACACGAATCCCCGGTGTTTGTGGAATGTGAATGTTATTTGAGTATTTAAACTTTTCGTCGTTAAATAATTGCATTTTTATCGTTTAATAAATAATCTAATATCCACTAGTATTTAAAAAAAAAACTGTACTAGATCATAAATAAACTGGTAAGCTTTGATAATAATGTATTAGATACAGTGTAATTGAAAATGCTGCTAAGTAATAAGCATGATAATTATCACTTACGTGGTTTCACATTAATGTATTATAATATAATTATTTATATTTATGCCGTGTTAACATTTAAATTACGTTTTTTAATTATATAAATAGATTTAATATACTATAGTTTACAGAATGGATTTTAATATGGTCATCAAAACGGAATTAAATGACATTAAGGCTGAGCCTATTATGGAGGACTTTCCAGATGTCAGTATTCCTAATTCTTGTAACTATGACGAAAGCGTAATTCAAAATATCAAAAATGAGGATCCGGTAAAATATTTATTTATATAAAATGTGTATGCATATAAAAAAATAGTTACATTAACATTAAATTTTTTTAAATTATGTTCTTAGTCATAAGAATTTGATTTGAAATATTCTTTTCAATGTTTAAAATTGTGGTAATTAAATCGGTAGTGGTGTCATATGCTATCTACTCAATAAATGCTAGTGTCATTTATTATCTACAAATACTATTTATCGTTGTATGTTATCTATACAATCGTAATATTATTTATCTACATTCTATAAGGCCGATTATTTTATGTTCAAAAGAGAGACTGCATCACTTTGCTTCCAATTGTTCAAACAGAAATTGAACCAGGGACATCCATTTTCTCAGATGAATGAAAAACTTTTAAGCTTACAGTAGTTTAAATAATCATAGTTATATACACAATACTGTAAATCATAAAAATAATTTTATTGATCCAGAAACAGGTGCTGAAACCCTATGTTGAATACCTATGTAAATATATTTGGCAACGTATTAAAGGAAAAATGATATAAAATTACACTGTGCCACTAAATGGCTGAAAAGGCATTTAAAGAAGAATGGTGGCGGTCCATAAATATAATAAAAAATTTTGACAATATAAATAAATACTTTTCAACTTTAATTGAGAACATTCATTAATAATCTTAATTTATCCATGAAGTATTGTGGTTTAAAACAAATTAAGATTACACTATAAAATCATGTGTGGACATTATTTTATATGTAGATAGCATATGACACCGTTACCATTAATTCTTCTGTATGGTATTGTACTATTCATTCAATGTTAATTAATGAATACATTTTTTTTTACAAATAATTGTTAAAAACAA